CCCCGGGCGGTCGGCGGCTGTGCCCGGCCCCAGGCGAGCGGAGATCGAGCCGTGGTCACCCCGGGGCAGGTGGCCGATGGTTTGAGTGTGTTCTGCCCGGGGACACCTGGACGGGGCAGAAGGGACAAGTGGTGACGGGCACGTGGCTGCCGTGGCTGTGGGATGCGGTGGCCGTGGCCGGGCGCTCCTTCCCTGGGCTCGCCGGGGATTTGCATTTCGTAACGGGGAGCGGACGGGCCCCGGCCTGCCTGGGGCTGGGCTGCCCCAGCTGAGCGGGTGACACGCGCCGGGCCCTCACCGCCCCGTGCTCTAGGTGCTTCGTGTTGATTCAGCAAGACATGAGCCAGTCCGACTGCCCCGGTGCCTCTGATGGAGGTGACATCACCCTCTGGGAACCAGTTAAACCAGTGACGCGCTCCCAGTCTGTGCAAGCCCTTGCAGACTGGGATCTCTCTGGGGCTGGTCCACTGTGCACTCCCCATGCCCTGGGAAACCCTCAAGCTGGCCATGGGGAGGGAAGAAGAGCTGGCTTCAGCTGCTCACACCCCGGAAAATCAGCTGGTGGGACTATGGAATCCCCCAGGCAGGACACTCCTGGTGTCATGAGGGTGATCCGTGTCCTGCATCAGCTGAGCTTCCATTTGGGACTGGAGTGTCTCCTTACTGCCTAGTGGGGCTGGACTGTGCCCATCCCAGTGTCTCCCTGTGTCCAGGATCCCGAGGGACTCATAGATCTCAGCACATGACGGGACCAGGAAGGGTCCCAGGATGGGCGAGAGGTTGGTGGCTGCTCTGGGGCCACCCAGGTGCCCAGTGGAGCATCAGAGGTGCTGGGCTGGGGCAGCACTTGGGGTTTCCAGGCCCTTTCCTCCCCGGGCCAGGAGAACTTTCCCTTCCCATGCGGGCTGGGGCCGACAGGCCGCTGTGGGAGATGCTGCCGGCCCTGGCAGCTGGTCTCCATTTGGGAGGAGGCGTCCACATTCCTGGCATAGCCGCGGTGACCGAGGAATCTGTGGCGGAGGTTGGGCCTCGCCGGAAGGAAAAGGGAGAGCATGGCGTGGCCAGGACCCCCGGGGCTCAGAGCTGAGCTCCCACGGGCTCCAGGGCACAGGGAGGGACAGATCCCGCTGCGGGGGAACTTCCCCCTAACCCCATGGGCAGTTCCTTCTCATACTTTTGGAATGGTTCAGAAGCTGCTATGTCTGCTGGCAGCCTCATCCTCATGCTCCCGTCCCCATCCCAGGGAGGGGGGAACTGTCCCCCTGAGGGGTTTGGGGTGCACACTGGGGCCCCGCCTGAGCTGTCCTCCTGCTGTCCCCCCAGCTCGCCCAGAAGTATGACCCACAGAAGGAGGCTGAGCTGCGGACGTGGATCGAGAGCGTCACAGGAAAACAGATCGGACCTGACTTCCAGAAGGGGCTGAAGGATGGGGTGATCCTCTGCGAGTGAGTCCTGGGGCGGTCCTGAGCATGGCCCCCGGCCCCTGCTCCAGCTGGGTGGATGATGGGGGACACCAAACCTCCAGGGGACCCTCACCAGCCCTTGTAGTGGGAAGGGTGGGCTGGATCCGTGCCAGTGGGACCTGCCAGAGTCACCCCCAAGGCTTCTGTGTCTGGGGAGAGCCCTGAGGACAAACAGGGACCTGGGGGGGAAATTTTCCTCACATGGAGGAGGCGTGGGCTGGACCTTCCCGAAAGGAGCCTATGCCCTGCAGCCCTGTGAGGTTCCTTCCTGCCCCAGCCTCATGTCCCCCTGCCTCCCTCCAGGCTCATGAACAAGCTGCAGCCCAACTCGGTGAGGAAGATCAACCGCTCGGCTCAGAACTGGCACCAGGTAGGTGCAGCTCTGCTGCCACCCACCTGCTGTTCCTCTGCCGTCACCCACCAGGGCTCACCCCTCTGCCTTCTCCACAGCTTGAGAACCTCTCCAACTTCATCAAGGCCATGGTCAGCTATGGCATGAACCCCGTGGACCTCTTTGAAGCCAATGACCTTTTTGAGAGCGGGAACCTGACGCAGGTGCAGGTGTCGCTGCTGGCACTGGCGGGAATGGTGAGCACGGGGGGATGAGCAGCTTGGGAGGGGCTGCAGCCCCATGGGGACCCCCAGTTTGGGGTGGTGTCTGTGGGACTGCAGAGCTCCCCCTGCACAGGGAGTGGGTGGGGGGGTTTGGGACCCCTGTCCTTCCTCACTTCCAGCCACTCCTGGCAGGCCAAGACGAAGGGGCTGCAGAGCGGGGTGGACATCGGCGTGAAGTACTCAGAGAAGCAGCAGAGGAATTTCGACGAGGCCAAGATGAAGGCTGGGCAGTGTGTGATCGGGCTGCAGGTGGGCTGCCCCACAGGATCCCATGGGTGGAGGGCTGGGAAAAGGGTGCCCAGTTCTGTCAGATTCTCAGCACTGTTACAGCTCCAAGCGTTGCTGGAGGGATCTGAGGCATGAGGTGCCTCAAGCGTGCTTGGGATCTGGGACTGTCTTGGCTCTGTGTCCTGCACTCAATGGGCGGGAGCCTGAGATGGGTTAGGGAGCACTGGCTGTCCCAGGCTGGGGGGACAGGGAATGGGGGAGAAGGGGCGCATGTGAGGCAGCACACGCTCCTCACCAGACCCCTTTGTCAGATGGGCACGAACAAGTGTGCTAGCCAGTCCGGCATGACAGCCTATGGCACCCGGAGGCACCTCTACGACCCCAAAAACCAGATCCTGCCACCCATGGACCACTCCACCATCAGCCTCCAGATGGGCACCAACAAGTGTGCCAGTCAGGTGAGCCCCCACGCCGGGCTGGGGAGGGATGGGGGGACCACCGCTGAGCCCTGCTCCATCCTGTCCTTCCTTCCAGGTGGGCATGACAGCTCCTGGCACCAGGAGGCACATCTATGACGCCAAGATGGGGACAGAGAAGTGTGACAACTCCTCCATGTCGCTGCAGATGGGCTCCAACCAGGGCGCCAACCAGAGCGGGCAGGTCTTTGGCCTCGGCCGCCAGATCTACGACCCCAAGTACTGCCCACAGGGCAGCCAGGGCGAGGTGGCCAACGCTGCTGGGGACCAGAGCGGGGACCCCCTCGGGTACCACTACTACCGTGAGGAGGAGGAGAGCTACTGAGCGGGATGGCTCAGCCCCACCCGCACCATCTCATGTACAGCCCCACTTCCAGGCACATTCCAGCCTCCACTTCCATCATTCCCTCTTTTAAAACTCTTTTTTAACTTTGGAAATGAATCTATTTTTCTGAGCGAGGAAATAAAGACCCTGTTTCTAGAGAGGAGCCCAGCCGGTTCCCCCAGGAGCCCCAAGACCCTGGGGCAGCAGGAAGGTGGCAGATGTTCCAGCACCTGGGAGTGGACGGTGTCACCTCTAACGTACCCAGAGCCCACCACACACCCCTGTGATGCCCCTGGATCCTCAGCAAGGAGTGGGAGTGGCTGCCCATGCTGTCCCCGGTGCTGCTGCTCATCCCTGTGCTGGCAGCACCCTCCTCAGCCCTGTGGAGGAGAGGGACTGGGGTCACGGAACACGGGGGAAGCACATCTGGGAGAGACTGGCCTCGGGATTGTGAGTGTGGGTTTGTGAGTGAATGTTTGTGCTCTGGTGTGATCTCTAAATGCTGGAAAAGCCCTTTTTGCAGATTCATAGGGACCAAGTTTTCAAGGCCACGGTGATGGCTGCAGGGCTGGGCTGGGAGCTGGCACAGCTGGCACAGCTGGCACACCCAGCACTGCAGCAACCTGATCGCCCAGGCTGGAGCCAAGGCTGAGTGCAGCGGCCGCATCCCACACCGGGGCGGTGTCCGAGTGCAGCCGGTGCCCATCGACGTCTCCCCTCCCGTGCGGTTTTTAATGCAGATGCTCTCAGACCGAAACCTTTTTAAAAAAAACCCCTTTCAACATAAACAGGAGCTGGTCTCTGCTGCAGGCGCCTTGTCAGGCCTCGGGCGGATCTCTCTGTGCCTGGGGGGGCTCCGAGCTGCCGCAGACCTGGGTGAGACCCCCGGAGTGCCAGGGTGGGATGCTGCGTGTCCCGGGGGGAGGAGCGGGAGCTGGGAACGGGCTGCGGGGTTCACAGATGTGCGGTTAGTGATGTGAGTGATTAGCAATGCCAACGGGACAGGACGGGACCTGCCCGTCCGGAAAGGAATCCACCTTTTTGGGCGAAATGCTGCGTTTCGAAGAGCCGCGCGGCTCCGTGGGGCTCCCGGGG